AATGATTTTTTTTTTTTTTTATATCTAAAAAAACTTTGAACTTATTTTGTTTTTCCTTTTCCAAATAAAAGCTATCTTTACTGTTAATAGTTTCATTATAATTTTTGGTCATGACTTCATTACCAACATAAATAAGTATTTTCACTGTATGAAAACTATGTTAAATAAAACCGGTTTATCCGATTCCTTCTTAACTTCAAAATAGGAAACTGGTTTTAGGCAAATTTCAATTTTTCGAATAACTCGAAAACCGGGTTTGGAAAAAAGGCGAATAATCGAACACCCTAGTATGCAATAAAAATTTTAACATAAATAAATACAAACAAAAAGCTCAACAAATATATTCTAAATTTTGTTGGCTTTAATTAAAAATAAATATCCATAAAGTCGGTTAAAAAATGCAGGCTCTGAACTTTTTTGCGCAACAAATTCCAGTTTGACACCACTTTGAGCATATACTAATATTCGATGTTCCAGAGATCGAAGTCTAGTTCGCGGAATATTAAAAATATATTTTTCTAATAGCGGTCACTTTTCGACAGACAAAATAAAATATTCGATCGATATCTCCCTCGGAAAAGTTGTGCATAAGATCCATCAAACTGAAGAAACACAGCAAAAAAGTGTTTGCCAAATATTCATTGAATCATTTAGTCAGCTTTTCTGTGAAACTCAGACTTCTGTGTATAAAATCCTAAGAATAAACTGCAGCTGTGAATTCAATGCAATATTGCATAAGGCGTTTAAGAATTGCAAGCATACATTGACAAAGCTTTTTAGCAACTATCTTTATGATGAAATCTTATCAGCAATGGATTCTTTAATTCGAAATTTGAGCAAAAACGAGTCTATCCACTTATTCATAAACGATAAACGCATTTTTTAATCAATGACAAAAGTGGTAGTAACTAATTTATGTATGTATTTATAGTTACATGCAGGCGTAAATATGTATGTACACATGGCCAGCGAAATCAATAAAGATAATAGGAAACGCTTAAGCGAATGCCATAGACAGAAACTATGAAAGCCCAAGGGTATTCGCTGCCACATCGAACACATTTTTGGATGTAAATAAATTTTAAGAATATAAAAATGCAAATTTTAAGTGATTAGACGCAACATACATACATACATTTGTAGCATAGCGTCACTCAATGAAACCCACATAAAGTTGGCTTGCAACTTGCATGCAAATCTACACGCGCGCACATATGGATATTTACATATGTACATAAATACATACTTACATACATATATATGATCCTCCCTCCACTCCCTCTAAGCCATCGCAAACTAAAAACTATTAATGGCTACAGCAACTACGCTGGTAAAATTCGTTTGCAATATTTTTAAAAGTCAAACTCCTTATGGCCATTTCTGGTTGCAAATGAATATCTCCAACTGCCGCCCAAACACGCGATTTTCATGAATGAAATCTTCAATAGCAAATCTGCATACACTCAAGCACATACATACATCTAATACATCCTCAATCTACATACACAAATACATAAATTTACGCGACGCCCAAACCAGCGCCATTCACAATTTGAAATTGTCAGTTTCCTTGGCGTCACTGCGTCACTGCTGCAGCAGTTAGTGATCGAGGGGGGCGTGCAGGGAGGCGCATGAAAAACACCGTTCCGTTCGCTGTCGCAGCATCAAGTCGCCGCTATGTTTAGCCTGCCTCACCTCAGCTAGAGTTTGAGTTGGTGTAATTTTCATTCACGTGAATGCGCGTATTTCATATAGACAAAAGAGCCCAGTCTCTGCACTGGCAATGTGGGCGTAGACCACAACGCCAACTTTCGGCCCACATTATTTAGCCAAAATCATTACTCCTTTTTGTTTTTCTCTTTGCGCTTGTTGATGAGATTTTTATTTAACTACTTTATTATTTTTTCTTTTTTTTTTTTTTTTGTCTTAAAGTGTGCATTGCGCGCACGCTCGTCTAGTTTTTAAGTCGTTACACATGCGCGCATTAAGAAGACATATTAACTGACCTGATTGCAGTTGTTTTAACGTATGTATTAATTTCCTACTTGTGTACGAGTGTAATGACAGATTAAGGCAATAGCATTTTAGTAGCTAGCTAAAAGTGTATTACTCAGTCTAGTGTCTTATGCAGCTGGAAACTATAAATACATACATTAATATGTATGTAATTAGAAGATATCCGTTGAGAAGAATATCTCATTTTCGCAAAATTTTGTGTACGTTTGCTAAGGCTTCAAGGGTGAAAGCTAACAGACAGGTATTGCCTATGTACTACGCATATCGATTAAGGTATGTAGAAGTGATGCCGACAGTTCTCTCTTTCCACATATTTTATCAAAATTTTTTCTCTAAATTTTTTGTATTGTTCGACACTTTGGTCAGCTACAAAGAGAGCTAAATTTTGGTGTTACTTCTACCCAGGGACCGAAAAAAAAGGTATGATCGAAACTACATTTCATCCTCGTAGATTTATTCCCATGAACGTTTAAAACCCTAAACCAAAAAGAGAACAAAACTTTCGGGAATGTTTACACAAGAACGAAAGTGATAACAAAACTGTCGACAATGTTCACATCATGCCCGTCCTTTTATATGGCGGCGCAGAAGCAAATATGAGAAGGCTTTGGTGGCTTCATTTTGTTCCCGGTCAAACTGCTCTCAATACTTTTTTTTTGTGCTTGTTTCTTTTGTAAGAACGTTCTCGGTATTACATTTTGTTCTCGTGCAGAAATACACCAAAACCGGAACGCGTTCAAAACGAAATTTCTATGATTACCAGTTTTAAAATCAATTTTTCTCAGGTATAAAAAATTAACTCAAGCTGAGAACAAATTAAATATCTGAGCGAACTAGTGTGCTGGTTTACAGGTTTTTTGGGGACTATCTCCATTAAAATGAGCTCAGTCTAAAGTTAGTCATAAAGAAGGAAATCAAGAGAGAACAACCTTTACTGACTCCACTGCTATTTAGCGCCATGGAGTCATTGAGGCGAAAAACCCTACCAAATTTATAAATTTTTTAAAACCTAAAACTTAAGCTACCACGATATTGGCTTGCCTTCCCAAATAAGGCCATATGGCTTCGACTATCTAGACTACTTGGCCCTCTTCTTCTTGTTATTATTTGGCACTTGAACCGTGTGTACGTTTGGGGCGAGACCAAAAACTGCACTAATTACCGCTCTCACTTTTTTCCATTCGTTCACACCAGCTGTAAACGGATCCTGCATTGGCCCTTCTATTGTTCTCATATTCGGTATTTGTAGGTCTCCCACGCGAACTAAGTCATATATTTTGCTTAGAATTATTCGCTCTCCAAAGCTCCCAAAGCCTTATCAACTTGGTTCGTCATCGTTCATGCTTCTGTGCCGTGTAGAATGATGGGAGTGTTGAGAGAATTTTGATCCTCGGGAGAGGACTGTGTTTTTCAATTGCCTATCTACAGGTCGATATTATCGGTTCAGTAATCCTGCCTTTATTCACTCACAAGCATTGCTGCGTCTGAGATGGCCAACTCAGATTGAAGAAAAATCTGGTTTGGTCTCGAAGGGCGGAGAGAGGTTCTTCTCAAATTGCACGGAACTTAAAGTTGTGCTCAGCGTAACTCGAAATAGTCGTATAAGTTTTGAAGCTATAACTAGTAAGCTCTTTAAAGTTGCCATATGCTCAAGAGTTAAGCGTCGTAACTGCTTCAAATCCATAACGCATTAAAAATAATTATCCTATACACGACTGTTGTTGATTGTCATTCCATGATACGCATCTAAGATTGACAGCATCTTTATTATAAAAAAATATTCAAATAATAAATGTACATATGTACATATGTATATGTATATGTATGCAATTCTTCCACTTTTATCACCATTTAGCTGTGTGCTCACGCACAGCCTTTAAAGATGTCGCAGCGCATGTCTAAAGCTCAAAACATTTTGTTAAGTCTTCGAAAATCGATGTACCACTTGTATTAATGCCTTTGGCAACTGGCTAAGATTGACATTTAATTTTTTATGTCATTACCAAGAAAATTACCATATCTGTAGATAGTATGTAGGTATGTATTAAACGATGTACAAGCTCGTATACATTCCTACCTGTTTGTTACCTGTCTGCATGCGTCTGCTTTATTGTTTTTATATGTACATACATATGTGTATGGCAAAAAAGTCTGCCCGTCGCCGCTGCCATTATTGACGCCGCACCGTGTCGTCTGTCTGTCCTGGTTGTAAGTCTGGCTTTCAATTTGTCACTACTCTTATTGAAGGCTAAGCGGTGCCTTAGTATACACACGACTACAGACACGGGCCATTCACATTTATGTGGAGTTTGCAAATAAATACATATGTAAGTACATATATGGACAGTTTTTGGCATAGTGCCACAAGCCTTTGCTTTAGCTGCGTCTTTTTCTCGTCTCCTGGACTCATTGTGTCTCTTCGACCTCGTTACTTGAGAACTTGCTACAGCCATTGGATTGTTTTTGCCTGTGGCTCCAGCTTATTTATGCTTTGTTTTTAAACTCTCATACTTTTGTTGTAAATATCTTTGCCAAACCCACATTCGTAATATATTTTAGGGAAAGCAGATGCTTATCAGAACCAAGGGAAAACGGAAAAGCGTGCCTACAAGCTTAATAATTCCGCTCGAACGCTTCAACTCAAATAAACCGATTTTCCGTTTTCACTTAGCTTCTAAGCGCTGCTAGCCTAGGAAAGTATAAGTTAGCGTACTATCACTTCATTTATCTTGCAAATGTTTTTGCCATTTGTTTTGTTATTTTCCAACTTCTGCCTTCTACTGATCATGCAGCAAAATCATTTCCGCATTTTTACTGTCATAAATCTTTCGAAACCGTTTCACGTACTCCACCTTCGATTTTTCCCATTTCTACTCATCTCAACAGTTCATTCATCTCCAGCATGCTAAGTTCATTCATTAATTCTCATTCATCACGCTCGAAGATCTTTCACCGTTTCTTTTTCTTCTTTTGCATCTTTTCAGAGTGCCAGTGCAGCCCGATCGGCGCCATTGCTGCCTCATGTGACAAGCGTACCGGTCAATGCGCCTGTCTGGCCAATGTTACCGGCCGGCGTTGCGACAAATGCAAATCAGGTCATTGGAACCTCACGCAAGGCGTCGGCTGCCATGACTGTCGTTGCGATCCAGCCGGTTCGCGCAGCCACGAATGCAATCCATGGACGGGGCAATGTGATTGCAAGATCGGTGTAGGCGGCCAACATTGCAACGAGTGTACGGACGGTTTTTATGGCTTCTCCACGGACGGCTGTCAGCGTTGTACGCAGTGCGCGGGCGAGGGACAGGTTTGTGATCCGTTGAATGGTCGCTGCATCTGTCCGCCGAACAGTCGTGGGTTGGGTTGTGCGCAATGTGTGGCCGGTACATGGGGTTGGCAACCGCGTCTTGGTTGTCGCAAATGTGCTTGCGATCGTATCGGTTCCATCGGCCAGCTGTGTGAGCCGGCGCACGGACAATGCCAGTGTCGCGAAGGCTATGCCGGACGGCAGTGTGACACGTGTGCCATTGGTTACTTTGGTTATCCGGAGTGCAGGCGTTGCAATTGCAATGTAGATGGTTCGTTTGTGCACGCAGATGGCTCGATTACCTGCGATGCGAACGGGCAGTGTCCGTGCAAGACACTGGTGGTTGGACTCAAATGTGACACGTGCATGAAATCGACCTTTGGTCTGTCGGCGCTCAACCCGGAAGGTTGTACACGTTGCTTCTGCTTTGGCCGTTCGAGCGAGTGTGAGCAAAGCGAATGGTCGTGGGGACACATACGCATGGCGGAGGCACGCAATCTGAGCGTGCAGTACATACAACCACAGTACGTTACGAATACGGAGTATGAGTATATTGTAGTGGTACAGATGGCGGGCGCAAAGAGTTATCGCGAGGATGCTGAAATACACCTGCTTAACGATCTGAATTTGATACCGCGTTCTACGGGCAACGTGTCGATTGGCGCCTACACGAACTTCTATCATCCACTCTACTTTCAACTGCCACCGCAATTCTATGGCGATCGCACCAGCAGCTATGGTGGTTACTTGTACTTTACGCTGTTCATTGAGGGCGCCAACCGACCGCTGGAGCGCAAGGTGCTCTCACGCTTTCCGTTGGTGCAAATACATTCGCACAAGAAGTTGGTGCTCGACTATTACGAATATGAGAATTATGAGTATGCGCTGAATGTGACCTACAAAGTGCCGCTGCATGAGTCCGAGTGGAAGTATCATCACAACAATCAGCCAGTGGATCGCGCTACCTTGATGGCGGCCCTGCAGAATGTGAGGCATATTTTTGTGCGCGCTTCGGCTTTCGCGGACTTCACGGAAGTAGTGTAAGTATGAAACAAAACATTTTGGCGGGTTTTAAGTGCGAATTTACATGCTAACGAAACGCCGAGAAAATATAGTGGGCGAATCTTCGAAAAGATAAATCTAAAGTAGTTATAAGCAGTTTCCTGGTGCTTTGAAGTATGTAAAAACTACTAACTTTTTCTCGAAGTAGGCGTACACAAAACTTATCGACCCACAAAATTGGGTTTTCCATCAGTTTACGGTTTGAGTCCACTGCCAGGGTTTAGTTGTTTAATGGCGTCTCCGAATCAGGGACCTTTTTTTGGATCGCTTTGCTTTTAATATCCTCCTTTTTCAGTCTCTTCAACGTCCACATGGACTCAGCAATTTACGTCTACGGCTCTACGAATATGATAGCTAAAGGCGTAGAACAATGCAAATGCACGAAACGTTATGATGGACTCTCGTGTCAGGATCCTGGAAAAGGCTACTACCGTTTTCGCAATGTCACTGAAATTGAGACTGTATTCATAGAGGATCTCATCGGACGTGTTGTGCCATGCCATTGTAATGGACGCAGTAATGAATGCGATCGTGAGACGGGTGTATGTTTGGTGAGTATTAATTACATGGGGTATTTTACCCGTAGCCAATTAAGTAATCTTGTGTCTCGAATTTTCTTCTTCCTCTATTTCGTATAGAATTGTCGCGATAATACAGGCGGTGGTCACTGCGAACAATGCGCTGAGGGCTATTATGGTGATCCCAACTCCCCATATGGCTGTCAGGCGTGCCCCTGCCCAGAGACAAGTCGGAACTTCGCCAAAGGCTGTAACGTTTGGCAAGGCGAGGTTAGTTGCATTTGCAAACCCGGCTACACCGGCAAGCTGTGTGATCGCTGCCGTCCTGGCTATTATGGCAATCCACTTGCCTATCCCAATAGCACCTGTCAGCCATGCAATTGTAATCTGGATGGCGCTACTAATGGTGATTGCGATAGTCAGACGGGGCAATGCCAATGTCGGCCGGGTGTGGCCGGTCTGAAATGCGATAGATGCATAGCAGAACGTAATTATTTAGAGGAACGCGGTTGTCGAAGTGAGTATATTGCCTACCATAGTGAACTTCACCACCACTCAACGTGATGTACATCTCTTCCATTCCAGTTTGCGACAACTGCACACTGCTTCTATTGGACTACATCGAGCTGATTGGCAATAAACTTCGCCGCGGTTTGCACAATATGGATCTCACTGGCATACCAGCGCCCTATCTGAAAGTTGAGGACTACGAGCGCGTCTATAATACGCTCCAAATTCACTACGAAGACTACACAAATGCGCGTAAGCTGCTCGGCAGCTATGATGCCAACGAGTTGCTAAAGATCGACTCACACGCTGAGAATAATAAATTTCAATCGCGCAAAGCGCTAGCCACAGCGAGTAAGCGCAGGGAGTCTACTGCCGAACTACGCAACGAAGTCACAACTCTTTATGTGGATATAGGTGCTTTGCGTTCCGATATTCTGAAATATATTTTCACGCTCAACAACTATGGCAAAAGTGAGCAGCACATGAGCCTGCCGATGGCTTTGGATCAAGCACGCTTCTATTTGGACTCAATCAGACAGCACGAGGAGACCGTGAATAGCATACGCAATTCCACGCAATGCGCCTGGCATTTTTACTATCACTTTGGTAATGCTTCGGATGCGGCATTCGATCAGAAAGCTCGCGTTGAGATGTTTTGGCGCCACTTGAATCAAACGAATTTTCGCATATCCGATATGCGACTGCACGCCGATCGTACGGTAGAGATGCAAAGCGAGATCGAAGACACACTGGAGCATGTGGTGAATTTGCGCAATCATGTTGCGGAAGATTATACTAAAATCAGGGAAGTTGGCGCTGAGGTAATGGACTACTTAAATGAGAGTTTGATACCACGCACGGACATTTTCATTGAAGAAACCTGGGCGCAACAAGAGCAATTGAGTGGTGTAACCGATTCGATTGATAGGCTCTTCGAACAGTTGAATATTTCGTTGGGCGATAATGAGGGTATGCAGCGTGAAGTACGCAAACATTGGCTGCCAAAAGCGCAGAAGCATGCAGACAGATTGATGGAGCGTTCGAATGAGTACGCCAGACAATTTCAGCCGACGAGAAATGGTGCGAAAATCGCATTGTTGGCGAGGTTAGTAATATAGGTATCGGGATAGGGAATTTAATAGGGTTCGAGGTCTACTCCAATCCAGCGATTCATCGCAAAATATACTTTCATCTACTTGGCCGATAAAAATTTCATAAACCAAGAGCATCGTCGCTACATAAGCTACGGATTAGTCTAAACGGTACAGGCAGCCCAAGTAGGGAAAGTAGACTGCGTGCTGCTGCAAAATGAAACGTTTTAGACTTATTCAAATACCGAAAGGCCCAAACTTTAATTTCATCCTCCTCTGTGTTCTTTATATTAAGTACTATTTCTCTATTTATTTCCACATTGCCCAATCAGCTCTGCGCACAAAAATATTTCCGATGCCATAGACGCTGCACGCCAAGCCTCTTTGGAAGCAAACGAACGCGTTTCGGAAGCGCAACGAAGGCTTTACCCCAACGACGGTAGCTCTATGATTGAACGTGCCAGGATTTCACTTGACAGATCCAAAATGCTGCAAAAGGAAGCGCTGGACGAAATGGAAAGCACGAATGGTGAGTATGCATTACGTTTGTGGACTTTCAAAAGCAGTACAGTTTCCTAAACTTGCTTCTCTCCTTTCCTTAGCCCTTAAGCAAAAGCTCAAAATACACGAAGACAAAGTAGAAAGCATAAAGGCAACGATCTATGATGCGGGTACGCGCACCAACAATGTCTCAGCACATCTGCACGCCGCTGCCAACAACTCGGCGCGTAAGTTGGCTATGGAGAGTATGGAAATGGCTAAGAACATTAGCGAAGAAATGCGTCACGAGCTGCAAAAAGCTAGACGCATGCATGAGGAGATTTTGAAGTTGCGTGCAAAGTTTGCCATCTTGGAACCGGATTGGGAAATAAAGCTAGGCAGAGCTGAGGAGAATATATCGCTCACCAAAACCAATATTCGCTTAGCCAACATTTCGCTCTCTTACGTGGAAGAGCAATCACAAAAGGAGAAGGCGAAATTCGATGAATGGAATAATACAATGGCCAGCCAGGTGCAGGAAATACGCGATAAAATCGCCAAAGCCCGACACGCAGCCGAGGGCGTAAGACACATATTTATTGTTAATACTAAGGAACATACCACCAACTCATTTTTTGCTTTTCAGATCAAAATTTCCTTGGAATCACTCAATCCAAAATGCATACGCACTTACCAACCTAACACCTATGGGCTCACCACCTCGAATACTATTAAAATATCATTTGCTTTGCCCAACCGTAATGGCAACTCGCCACTGTTGCACATACAGGGCAGTGATGGCCGCTACATTGCACTGGAACTCTATAAGCGGCACGTGCGTTTACTTTGGAATCTTGGCGGCACCACCACCATCATAACACATCCATTGGAAGTGCAAACGCGTGATCCTAAATATGATGACGCCTGGTACCACGTAGAAGCGAATCGCACGCTTAATATCGGCAGCCTTTTGGTGCGTCGCATGAACAACTATGGGTCGCTTGTGCCTGGACAAACGGTCACTGGCAACACAGACGCTGCCTACACGCGTTTCTTCCAAACGCACAACGAACGCATATATCTTGGCGGATATCCGAGTGATATGTCACAGAAGGAGATGCAACAAAGCGCCGGACTCAATGTGGTTGTGCACAATGTGGAGGTAGATAATCGGCCGCTGGGTATATGGAACTTCATAACGAGCGAGGGACGTTGTGGTGGTGCAATTATCGGCGCGCGAGAATCAACGTCGATCTCGATAGCGCGTCACTTTAATGGTCTGGGGTACGCTGAGGTGAAAAAGTCGCGGCTGCGATCGTATAGAATGAATTTGTTCGCGGTACAAATGACCTTTAAGACGCTGGACGAGAATGCACTACTATTTTTGGCGGTTGATGACAAGAATGTAAGAAAAGAACCAATTAATATTTGTATGCTACCATAATTACTCACCTTCCCCCCTTTCTTGGCAGAATCGCTCCGTCTCAGTGACGCTCAGTCGTGGTCGCATTATGTTCCGCATTGACTACGGCGACGAATCGAAGTTGGAAATAAATACCACCAACAAGTACAACACCGGCAAATGGGTTAAGATTGAGGCAGCGCGCGAGTTCGTGCCCAAGCGCGGCACCGAAAATGGCATATTGCGCGTGAACAATGAGCGTGCCATAACCGGCTCACCAACTGTGCCCATCAAGAGTCACATGTTACCCGATTTGTCCAAACCCGTCTACTATTTGGGTGGCGTGCCACCAGGTGAGAAAAAAAGTTTTAATTTAAAAATTTTAATTACATATATGTAAATATTTCTGTTGCTAATGGCTTACTCATCTGCTTTGCTTAGGCTTCAAATCGGGCACTTCTAAGGCGCCTGGCGCGGACAATCCCTTCTTGGGCTGCATGAAAGACGTGCAAGTCAACAGAGAAACCTACGATCCGCTCGGCAGCTCCTCACACTTCGGCGTAGAGGCGTCCTGCAAAGAAATAATTACGAAGTATGTAGGGATTTGAATTGTATTTAGTCGAAAACATTTTTTATATTCGCTAAATTCTCATAAATCTCTTTATCTTCACAGAGCCGGCTTCACAGGTCAGGGCTACATCGAATTACCCTCACAATCGCTACGCAAGCGTGCCAATACTGGTTTTGTCTTCCGCACTCTACAGCCCGATTGCTTGCTGTTACTCTCTGCCTATCCGCCGGAAGTTGCTGAAGACTACGACGACAAAGACATCAAAGGCAACTATTCGATTAGTTTAATCGATGGCCACCTACAAGTATGGATCAATTCTGGGCGCAGTCTTTTGAAAATAATTTCAAATAACACACTAAACGATGGTGAATTCCATGTGGTGAATTTGATAAAAACTGGTCGCAAATTTGAATTGATAGTCGATGATGAATTGCAAGATACAAAGATTTTGTCGGGCGCGCCCACAATTGTCAGCATGCCGCGTGATGCTGGTGGCCTGTATATTGGTGGTGCACCACCCTATGAGGAATTTACGCCATTGGCGCCGACATTTATCAAATTGGAGGGCGCTATTCGTGATGTGGTTTTCAATAACCACACCGTCAATTTAAATCAGGCAGTTGCGTTTTCGAATGTGCAAATCGGACGAAATGGTCCACCTATGGGCACAGTAAATGGACTGATCGATGTACTGCTAAAGACTGAACCAATGATTGGAAAGAGTTTTACCGCATCGCCAGAGGGTTGTTTGAGGGTGAGTACGAAATAATAAATGATATTAGGGTATGGTGTTATGAATTTTTGTTGCTTTTAAAAAACACATACTTATGTACTAAACAAATAACTCGTAAATAAACAGAAATATTTCAATATACGTAGATGCATTATAAAAGTATAAAAGAATCAGAAAACTTGTAGTAAAACTCGTTCGAAATTCCCAAAATATTTTTCATAAAACTTCACCACAAACTAGTCCATATATAATTTTTTTGAGAAATGATCAATCCAATACTTTAGCGCCGAAATTCATGAGAAAAAAATCAAAAGCTTTATAAACGGAATCAGTGATCGGATGAAATTCGATATGAAACTTAATTTTGAGATAACGGCACCCGATAGAGACTTTGCTTTTTTAGTACAAATTGTATTGGAGAGAAAACAGCTGTTATTTTATTTCATTTAATTCGAAAAGAGTGGTTATGCTGTAACGGATGCCCTAATTTGGAACCAGAAAAATTGTATGATAATTAAAACCATAACACACTTCTTATCTGTCAGTTCCGATTTCAGGCAATACATCTTCTCTAAAAATATCTAGTAATGGAAACCTCATTTCATTCCTTTCACAATATTTGCCTAAGCGCCATTATACTACTTGAGTAGTTAGGAGCCGTGTGAGGCTGAATGGCAAATCGATATAAATTACTTATAGACTTCACTCTTTTTCCAACATGTCCAACTTCAGAAAAATAGTAGTCTTTTAATTTTACTAGTGTCTTTTCGAGAGCATATTTTCGGGAACTAGACCCATTCTAACTGTCCAAGACAGGTGTGTAATTAAGGGAATGTTCCCCAATAATACCAGAGTAATACAAAAGTAACAACTCCCCTTAGTTTTGTAGCTGGATGGAGAATTCACCATTATAATTCAACTAGGTATCATATTGCCAATTTAAATCATTAACATGTACACTTCTGGTCACACTTTATTAAATGTTTATATTTTTTTATAAAAGTTTAGCACTTTACCTAGCCAGCGCCCCATAAATCTTTTGCTTTTATAAAAAAATATAAACATCAAATAAACAAAAGAAGAATAGCCAAAACTAGTCAAAATGTCACTTGACTTAGTCAGCTGACCACAAGGGTATATGAATCGAACTCTTATGTATGTGAACTTCGCTTAGGTGATAATCAGAGCTGATCTTCATAATTAAAGCAAGGTAATGCTAGAGCATAGACAGACAGCAGCATTTATACGGACCATCTCGTTAATTCGGAATTATTAGAATGATTAATTAGAGTTAATTCTTAAACCTAATGTGGATCAGGGACATTTCCGATGACAACACTGACCGAAACGCAGAGAACGTAAAATACCTAGAACATGCAAAATTATTCAGGACATCTAAATCGTCGGCAGACAGGAATCTATTTCATTAGTATGGTTTATGCGCAACCGGCTAGGAGTTCGTTTTGCATGCTCTCTGTATTCTACGTTTTCTCAGCAAACAAAGCGCCCGAGCTTGACGTCCGCGGAAGCGGAGTGGACACAAATGTGTACTACAACTCAGTAGCACCCAGGTTCGATCGCCACACCGAGCAATTTTTAAAAATCAATTCTATTTTTTTTTATTTTCATTTGTGTTATTTTAATTATGTATATATTTTTTTTTATATTGCTTTATTTCTTTTTTTGTTTTATGTTCTTCACATAATTATTTCAAGTTAATTTAATTCTTTAGCAAAAAAAAAAAAAAGCCGCAACATTAAGTTACATTAAAAAAAGTAAAAGTAACGATTCCAAAGCAAAAAGTTTGCTGGCTAAGGTATTCGAAAACACGACTTCGCGGCTCGTTTATCCGGCCATACTGCCATCTGTCAGGGTACAATTTTGATAAGAATAGCTACGCCGTTGATCCGGATTAACGTTGCCGTCTGTCTATGTGCTTGCATTACATAAAAAAGTAGTTTTTAGTTGGAAAATCAGAAATCAAATGGATTTGCTCGACAAAACAATTCGCAAACACATTTCATTATTTATTTGCCCGACTAATCAAGTCACAAATAAATTTGATTTTTATGACTTGATTCATCGGAAAAAAATTCAATTAACTTGTGATTCGTCGGGCAAATAAAAAATAAAATTTACATATTTACCTCTGGCCTTTTTTTAAAGTTGGTCGGAGGTCATTCTCAATCTTGGTATCGACTTTTCCTAAGAGTTCTTTGAAATTAAGTCGTATGATATCTACAATTTCAGAATGTTTACTAGTGCTCCGCATTCAATCTCGCGAGTTTGCTGTCCATAATAACACCAAGATATTTTTGTTGTTGCCCGAAGCGTTAGTGTAGTATTCCCTAGTAGACCAGATCGAAATCTTAAACTTTTTTGTGAAAAAGTGCAGACTCGGTCTTGCCTTGGTTCCCATTAGGTCTTTAGTTCTTCGTTGCAAAGACAAGAATATAATCAAAAACAAATATAAAGATAAGATGAAGATGAAGATGAAGATGAAGATGAAGATGAAGATGAAGAT